GGGGAAGCTTTCCGGAGGGCGTGGCCGAGACCGAGTCCCACAGGATGAGTTGGCCTTGCAGAAAGTAGGGCATGGCTCGAGGTACTGAAATTCATATAATTTGGATAAACTTTCATATTAACAGTAAAAAAAAAAAAAACAAAACAAACCCAAGCAAATGCTAAGGCTATGAGAAGCACGCTGTAAGATTTCGCTATTGATATTTCCATACTATGAACTGACCATCATCCTCTTCACTGGGTTTTGGAAGTCAGCGTATATTAATCTTTTCTCAACACCCCAACACCAAGCAGAGTTGTGTGCGTGTTTGTAAGGATGTGGGAGGTGACAGCCTATTCCATATAATCTTTTTCATAGTGGATTACATTTGCTATTAACTATTAATGTTTGCAAGTAAGTGTATTTCTCTAATGAATTTATTTAAAATTCAACTCACACAATGTATAAAGATTCTATAGTAATGGTCACTTAATGATGTATGGCACTAATGGTTTTTCCACTCTTCGACTGGCTGCCTACGGTGAACTACAAATAATGGTAACGGCTGCTGTTTGTTGAGCACAAACAATGTACTGGGCGTGGTGCTAAGCTACCTGCATGTGTCATCTCGTTTAATCACCTGGACAGCGCTGGGAGAGAGGTGCTGTAACTAGTCCAGGTTTACGATGAAGACTCCGAAGTGGAGTGACTTGCCGGCGTGTGATGGGTCCTAGCGTGTGCAGTGCAGTTTGAACGTAGGTCTGTCTGCCTTGCCCTCAATGCTGTTCACTTCCTCCAACAACCTGCTCAGATGTGTTACACACACTTCCACTGTCTCCATGTTTTTTCTGAGGAGAAAACAATGTGTGTTATTACTGATTTTTAAAGTGAAGAATCCAAGACTTTATCTCTTCCCATTTTTCTTTGGTATTTGTTGTTTAATTAATTCGCACACATGAGTTACTGACTACATGGCTATAGGTAAGTATAGGGGTTTATGGAAAGAAACGTTGTTTTGGTTTGTGGATTTTACTCGGTGCAGTAAAATGGCTAGAAAACTCGGGAGTTTCTCAAAAGGAACTGAATGTGAATAAGTGTATCCTTACATATTTATCTCACAGCTAATGAGATAAATAGAGAAAGTGGCAATTATCTAGGTACTTTAGGAAAAAAACACTTTTCGTATCAGTTATTTGGATATTTTAAGAATGATAAATTTTGGCAGGCAATTACCGGAATTTTCCCTATTTTTTTCTGTTTGTGCGTAAATCCAGGCAGTGTTTTTTTTCCTTTAAGGAATAAAGAGTGGTTGAAGAGGAAATACAATCTATACCAGAGATTTAATAATAGATTAGATCTTGGGATAGATTAAATCAGCAGAGAGATTTTCTTTATTTGATAAAATATGAATAGACACACACATAATTATTTCCCCCATTCTTCTAAATATGTATCATAAACTCTAAGCCCTTTGCTCAAACTTCCAAATATACCTTAATTTTATACATATTGTTTCAGCAAGAAAACAATGTATATTATTCATGACAATATACCCCATTATTTTCGAAAGGTCAAATAAATAAAAATAAGTAGCTTAAAAAAATTTTCAGTTTTCTACCTCCCTTGGCTCGTGTGAGAACGAAATGAGTTCTCATACTTACCATTTTGTTGTCATTTGAAATCAGCAGTATCATAGAATACCTTCTGTTTATTCATTCTGCGCAGAATTTCATTTGACTCCTC